CTTCCCAATTTTCTCTAGCACAGGTCAACAGGCCTAGATTTTGCAGGGCAACTGAAACTTATTAACCTCTTTTTTGCAAGTCTCTTGATGAAACTGTAGTCCCTAAAAATCTAGATGATGCTGAGAAAAGCACTTTAGGTTACCAGCATCAGAGCAGCCCAAACAAAACAAACTAGAATAAGAATTAAAGGCTCAGCCACATTTTAATTTTCAAAAGCAAAACACCAAATATAGCGAGCTGGGTACTCGTTTTACCGACCTCGGAAGGATAGAAGGCTGAGTCAACCTTGAGCCGGCTACCTGGGATTTGAACCCCAGGTCATGAGCACAGTTTTGGCTGCAATCACTTTAACCTAAAACAAGGCCACCTAAAGAATAAGAACCCCTTTCTCAGACAGTCTGACTCTAGCTAGACTAGTGGCATCAAGAGTTGTGTCATTTTATTGCTTGCCAGACTGGAATGGAATAAAATACATTTCAGCATATTTTTAGCGTTAAAATGTGTCCTTGGGTCCTTTTAAGGTGAGGTAAAAATATTTTAAGTAAATTAAAATAAATAGCTATCTGTGAGAAAAGGCTTTGTATCATTTAGAATCTAGCTGCTACCAAGGAATGAAATGAGATGAAGTACAGTACCAAAATAATTCTGTCAGGTGCATGGATAAACATTAGAGCCATTGTCCTTAAGCTTACATCTCAGAAGTAGCAAATGAGATTGTTAATCCTGTTTCCAGACTGTTCTTTTTCATGTGGCACAAAGGAACTCATGAGGTCAAGTTTGCCTTCACATAAAAACTTTCCTACAAAAAAAAAAAACCTAAGTTGGGGAGAAGATTTTTAGGTAAACTGTTTACATTCGAGTTTTCTCCATATGGGATCTGGGTAGGCAGACTGTCAGGAGCAGTAAAGATCAACAATTCCCAAACATTTTCATTGTTCAGTCAAGATAATACCTGCACTTTCCCAGCCCCATCTTAGCTTTACACATGTACTCTCAAGAAAAAAATATATTTTGCCAGATTTTGAAATCTGGGCGTTGGCAAAGTATACATTTTCTAATAGGGCCAGGTACAAAATGATTTCCTGAATAATTCTTGTTTAATAGCAAGAAATGTTCTGCATGTCAGTCAAAACTCCACAGTTTATCTTCACAAAAGAATTCAAGGTTTCTTGATGTGGACTTGAAATCCAGACATCTATACCCAGTAACTACAAATTTAAGGTTTATAAGAATGTAGGAAATCTTAAAAGAAGTAACCAACAAGCGTGAATCATGCTGAGCATGTTTAGTCATCACTGGCCAGGAGCAGGAAAGCAGTGTCTTCAATTAATCTTAATGATTCAGATAATAGCATACAATGTAGTTACCCATGCAGACACTATTCCCAGTTACATAAGCAACACAGATCAGAACATTTTCTCCAAACGAAGATTCAGTCAAACATATAGATTTGGTTAAAACTATATTAATCCTTAAAACAAAAATCACCCCATAAACTGTTTTTAAGCTATTCCCCATTATTAAGGACTAGTGCAGATAGGTTCAGAGTTTGAGCTACAGATCTCCGATTCATACCTCAGTTTACCTACAAATTTATTTAACAGCCTTAGGCCAGCAGTCTGCAGACATCTCTCTGCCACCCCACATCTAAAACACAGCTACAGCAATATTCACCAAGCTTACAATGCAACTATTAAGATAACAGGACTAGAGATTAGCCCAAACTGCCAGTTCTGCTGATGGTCACACAGCTGACCTGTGGTTTGGTGCCCTTCCCCCTCTGGCATGCACCCACTTCCCTGCCCCGGGAGGAGGCGGGGCAGAGAAGCCGGAGTACTGTCTCCAAGTGGGCGCCTGTGGGGTGTGTGAGCTGAATACACAGATCAGCTGCGGCCCATCAGCCAAGCAAGCAGAAACCAGCAGTTCTTGCCCATCTCTAAATAAGACAGAAATTCTATGCGAATTTGCTTGGGTATGAACAGAATGGAACTAAAATTCCAGTAATCACATGCATAACTGGGCTGCAAAATAGCAAGAAGCATATAACGTTGGTATGCAAACTATATTATACATTTATCAATTTAAGATGTAACTCTCTGATGGGCAACCATCAGTTTTCATTACTTATAATTTATCTGGAACAGCCTGATTGAAAGAAACCTATCATTAATTTTCTTGTCTCCTAGAAATTACTGCAGTCTTTTATAGACAACTCATTTCTTATGCACCAGCAAATAAAAAGAAAGAATTCAACAAGGTAAAACACAAAGCCTAAAATCCTGTTATGTAGCTCCATTAGTGCAAAAGTAATGCTGTTAACACCAGTGGCAAACAGCTGCTTCCTTTGGGGATTTTGGGTTACTCTAATTGACAAAATCATGCCCATGTATCATATCATGTGCATCCCAAAACCACCTTTACTGAGCAGTAATTTACTAATATTGTGACATCATCACTGTTGTGTATGTGGATACCTAACAGGATTCCACCATTATGTCAATGCTTTGGAAGAAATCTATGCTATTTTCTTCTTTAGCAGTAAAGTGGGGATGGAAGACTGGTAGATGAATGCCCCACAACTATTTAAATATGTGAAATGACCACCACCATATATCCCAGACAATGCAAGACATGTATATATTTTCCTGGAAGACTGGTAGATGAATGCCCCACAACCATATACCCCAGACAACGCAAGACATGTATATATTTTCTGTCCCTGAAACTACAGCCTGACCTCTAAGTACAGCATCCTGGAGCATTCAAGCAAATTCACTTCATCTGCTGCAAACCATAGACAGACATTGTCATAGGTGTTCTGTCAAACAGTTGTATGTAATGATAAATGCTATGTAATGATAGATGCAACAACTTCTTTAAAAAAACCCAATTCTCTGCTCCAAGAATTCCAGACTATTTCTACATTACTGTATACAATGCAATCAGATTACTGGGAGAATCTTCTTTCACCTACTGTCTAATATAGCAATGGGAAACAAAATATTATCTCTAACTAATCCTGTTCTAAGTTCAGAAAATTCACAAGATGGAAAAATAACTGCCTTGAGATTCTCTAAGCACTTCTACCTTGAACTCTATTTTACCCAGAAAGCACAAAAAAAGAGAAGACGTCTTTTTTTTTAAGTGAAAAGAGCCAATATCAAATATGCTTCCAAGGAAAGAGTTCTGTCTCTCGCACACTCAGTTCTTCCCACTGAAATCAATAGGAATGAAAAAAATGCACCACATTCAATCTAGTGTTTTGGACAATGCAGCCCACAGCATTCATAAATCATGAATAATAGTTGTGACTGAATGAGAACATGTAATGTAGACACTAGACATCCATTTAGATTTATAGACTAAAGTTACCACTTTGTCTTGGAATTGCTAGTGCCAACAGTGAACTACTAGAGATGTGCAGATTTATGTTTTTAGAGCACATCTCCCAGAGCTACAGTCGAAAAACACCCAGGTCTCAGCCAGCATGTGGGCACTTGTCCAAAATCTGTCTAACTGACTTTGTGCTGCCACCCACCACTAGCAAATGAAACCTTTCCCCTCTGGGTCAAATCACATATTAACACATTTCCTCTCTTACAATGTTATCCTTCCAGCCATGCAAAACTTTCAGGACCTTGTGTCAGAAATATCAGACATGCAAAATGAAGCCATGCTATCTCCCCAGTTACAAAACAAAAGCAGGCTAATTTGCCAGAGGTGGATTGAAGCAAGTTCATGCTCGAATAAGCAGTCTAGGCTTTGTTACAAAGAAAAAATGTGTTTTACTGCACTGCAGTCTGGCAAGCATTAAAGTGACAAAACTGTCGGCACCAGCCTCTACTTCTTGCATTCCCCCCCAAACCTTCCTGCTTACAATCCCACCCATCCCACAACACACAGAGACACAGACACAGACACACACACAACCATGCCGACCAGCTTGGCACAAACTTCACCTACCTGTGGACTCCTGTACTCAAAGACTTACGCCACAATACATGAGTTTATATTTAAGGTGCTACAAGGCTTTTAGTTCCTGTCCTCAGAAATCATCCAGGAAGCAACCCTGTAGCTTCTCTTAAAAATTTCAGACTAATTGGGGAGAACACTGATTGGGGAGAACACCACCAGACCTCTTGCTGGGGTAGGAGAATGGCAGGTGGGAAACGACTCTGTCTTTCCTTCCGCCATCCCCGCTTTTCTGAGAAGTTATGAGATCAACCTGCAACCCTCCTTGCAAGAACTTGCAAACCCTGCTGGGCTGTATCAGAGAAGAGCGACCTGTGCAAGAGCAACTCACTGCCTTCCTAATCTCTTTTCCTCCTCCAGCTTGGAGATCCCGGTTAGGAAGACCTGGGAAGATGGAGCAACTCTCTGCCCAGGCACGGAGGGGTTTCTGAACCAATACATGACTTCACAGGGTCCCTTCCACCCGCTGGGCTGTTCTGAAATACATCCATCAGAGGCATCATCCCACGGTTCATCCTCCTAAGTGAGGAACCGTTTTTACAAACTTCCGTGCATTACCGTTGGATTGAAACGGCATTTCTCCCAGGAAAAGTATTATGCGCTTTCACCCTCCCGCTCCCCACCCCACCGTTAATAATACAAGGGTCTTCTTTTTCCCTCGGAGCGGAGTTGAGGCTAAGAGGACTTCAAACCCTCGACTCTT